CTGGGTCTGTCTGCCTCTGGGGGCCGCCACCGGGCCTGAATGTCCCTGTCGGCCGCTGCACGTCTACCTCAGCAGGCTGCCGCTGGGCCCGTCTTCCTCCACAGGCCGCCGCCACAGGCCTACCTGCGTCTGCTTGTCTTCGCCGCCGCCGGGCCTGTCTACCTCTGTGGACTGCCGCTGGGCCTGAATGTCTCTGCCGGCTGCCACCGGGCCTGAATATCTCTGTTGGCTGCCGCCGCTTGGCCCGTCTACCTCAGCGGGCTGCTGCTGGGCCCATCTACCTCCGCGGGCTGCCGCCGCAGGCCTACCTGCGTCTGCTTGTCTCTGCCGCCGGGCCTGTCTACCTCTGTGGGCCGCCGCTGGGCCTGAATGTCTCTGCCGGCTGCTGCCGGGCCTGAATGTCCCTGTCGGCCGCTGCCGCCGGGCCCGTTTACCTCAGCGGGCTGCCGCTGGGCCCGTCTACTTCTGTGGGTTGCCGCTGGGCCTGAATGTCTCTGCCGGCTGCCGCTGGGTCTGAATATCCCTGTCGGCTGCCGCCGCTGGGCCCGTCTACCTCCACCGGCCCCCGCCGCAGGCCTACCTGCGTCTGCTTGTCTCTGCCGCCGGGCCTGTCTCTAACCTTTTGATTTTTAAAAAATTTTTTAGCAGTCACTTCTCCTATCTAAGTATCATCATAAGCATGAGATCCAATATCAGCTCTATTTCTAATCCATTCATCTATTGGTGCTAATCTTGCCTTAAAGGCCTGATCACCCTTTACATTCTGAATTAGCATGTTCAAAAGCCAAAGATTCAATTAATATTTGTCTAACTTTTGGATATGATATCATTCTATTTACAGCTGAAGTCAATCTTTGCAAAAAAAATATCAGTCAAGGCTTCTTTTGGGCCTTGTACAATTTTAGTAAATGGCTCACTCAGTTCTCTTTTCTGATTCTTTAATCTTGTCCCAAGTATTTAAAGCTGCTGTACAGCATAGGGAGAAGATGTGATCATCAAATATAACATCAGCATAATGGCCTTCACTAAGGATTTGATCTTGGGAAATCGTATAACCTCTAACCCTACCTTGTTGTCCTATGACATCTTCATCTCTCTACCAGGTAGTCCACTATAACTGATACTGCTGTAATTAAATCTTTCCAATCTTGTGGAATAATTCTGTTCTGAATGGCCCATGAATTTAACATTTGCTTCATAAAAGGTGAATGCATGCCATATGAAACTATTGCTCCCTTAAATCTCTTAAAATGTAACATTTGTTTCTATAGGTTCCTAGTTAACTTCTGAATAGCCTTGGGGATGACTATCATCAGGTGGCCATTCTCTTAAATAATAACTAAATAAATTAAGGTTGGTTTTGAAATGACCTTGGGCCTCTCCCCTTTAGTTTCATAATGCCATGGTGGTGGTCTAAATTCCTCTGTCTCTGTGTGAATATTTTTCTTAGTTCCACTAGTCTGTCTTTTTAAGGACTTTATCTTATCAGTCAATTTTTCATATTTGGTATTGTTATCAACCAACATTTTTAGGGATAAAACAAGAATTATTAAAATGATAATTGACATTATTGTAGCTGGAGAGTTTTCTCTCTGGGTCCTGCCAAACCCTGACAGTCCAACAGCCCACTTATAAAATAAACACACAGACACTTATATTATTTAAACTGTTTGGCCTAATGGCTCAGGCTTCTAGCTATCTAGTTCTTACATCTTAAATTAATCCATTTCTATAAATCTATACCTTGCCATGTGACTCTTGGAATACCAGCGTCTTCATATGCTGCTTGTCATGGCGGCGGCTGGCAGTGTCTCCTCCCACCTTCCTGTTCTCTCCATTTTCCTCTCTGTTAGTCCCACCTATACTTCCTGCGTGGCCACTGGCCAATCAGTGTTTTATTTATTGGCCAATCAGAGCAACATATTTGACATACAGACCATCCCACAGCACATTATGACTCCCAGCTAAATTGATTATCCATTTATTTAATTGTTCCATTTTCAAACCATCCATTGTGTAACTATACAGAGACCTAACTCCATGCATCATGTATCCCATTGTTAAAGTGAGAAAAAACTTTCTCTCTCCTTTGCTTTTTTTTTTTTTAAAGTAATTTACCCTTTAAGACTTCTCAGGTGTCTTATCACATCCGCTGACAATGACAGTGAAGTGCGAGGCTGGCTGAAACTGCATAGCACACCTGGGCAGAGAACACAGTGGTGCACAGCCTGGCTGAGGACAGCTCAGCTGCTCACACATAGTCTGTGGCGGTTGCAACAACAATAGAAGCCAGAGAAGGTGTCAAAGAAGCTAACCTAGTGTGGCAGCAGCCTGAGGAGGGGGTCCAGGAGAAGCCCACAGCCCATGGGGAAAAGGAGCCAAGGAGCCAGCCATCTGAAAGGCAGACACGGGAGCGTGTGGAAGCAGCACTTGTAATGGGCAGAAAGTGAGAGCACAGAGCTGCCTGAAGGCAGAGCTGGCTGGTAGTGGGATGTTCACTTGAGTGGCATTTGGAGCCCAGGTACTCATGATCTTTGGAGATTGTTGTGGAGAAGCTGCAACTGGAAAATTCGAGACTCACTCACAGGACTTGAGGCAAGATAGGAAACTAGCATCTGTGACCTGTGGTGGTGGCTGCCAATAGCAGCTGCAACTTTTTGTGCCCCAAAATTTGGACACCAGATGAAGAGTTAATCTAATTATTCTTTATTAATAAAAGTTTGGGAGTCAGATATTTGGGTAAGAACCTGAAGAAGCAGAGAAGTCACCAGAATCTGATCCACTCCTTCCTCCAAAAAGCCACAATCCCTCTCTGTCCCACCTTACTATTTCCTGTTCTATCTGTCTTCATTCCTCCCAAACCTCTGTGGTTAATTTTGGTAGGCAAGTGGCTAGCTCTGCCTTTTGACTCCATGCAAGCTTTATTTATCAGAACATGATCAAAATATCACACAACAGTAGTTTTCTCCTCTCCCTACAGTGCTTTGCCTTCTAGCATTGAAGTTTCCATAAATAGAGAACAGATTTATTAAAAATAAACATTAGAATGAAGTAACAAAACTCAACCTTTAGAACAATGCTAATTTCTCTTTCCTGGTATAGGAACTAATTGTGAAAAGTCATTGAAAAATACACAAAACTAATATTTTTTAAAATTACATTTATTCATTTGTGAGTGTACATGTCATAGCATACCTGTCGAGGTCAGAGGGCAATGTGATGGAATTGATTCTTTTCTTTCACAACATGGGTTCTAGGAATTAAACTCAGGTTACCAGGATTAGCTGTAAGCACCTCTACTTGCTGATCCCTAGTTTCTTTCCTAATAATTTTACAATTGAACCACATGTGTTATGCATCTGTGTGTGCATGTGTAGTAGTTTGTACATATTAACACTATAACATCTAGAAAGTGACCTGGGAGAGAATGATTTTGAATATACCTTTTTAGATGACAAGCTATTTCTCCAGCCAATAAAAGAAAAACTACAGAAAGCCATAGGAGGTATGCATGTGAGTAGTGGGATAGGTCACAAAATAAACCTACTGGCTAATGGGCATGGATCGAAATCCAACAAAGCAAAATAGAAAAGAATACAATTCAGCTAAATGTGTTAGAGCAGTGTTCTCAACCTGTGGATTGCAACACCTTTGGGGGTCGAACAATCCTTTCACAAGGATCACCTAAGACCATCAGAAAACTTACATTATGTTCACAACAGTAGCAAAATTATAGTTATGAGGTAGCAACAAAAATAATTTTATAGTTGGTAGTCAACAACATGAAGAACTGTATTAAAGGGTCACAGCATTTTAAGAACCACTGTTAGAGGGATCCTGAGAATGTGGGACCTGTAACAGAGTTAGAGCAGGAGAAAGTGACTTTCTGCATGATGAGGAAATGGAGTTAAGTGCATGAGAAATATGAGGGCAGAGAAACAGTGTGTGCAGTTCATGATGTACCTCTGCTTTCAAGAAACACAAACCTACCTAATGACAATTTATTACTTCTCTTCATTCACTCAGCCATTTCTCCATCTACAAGCAAGGTCCCTTCATCACTCTTTTCCAGCTTTATAGAGGCACATAATTCCATTGGTTCCAGGTACAGGGCATGGTGACATAAGCCATCCTGGCAGCCATTCTCTGAATGGTGAAGTTAGCTTTATCTACATGTGCATACATGGGGAAGCCAAGATTTCTTAGAGCCTGAATCTGTTGGGAAGCAATATGGTAAATGAGACCCTGGCGCCGGTACTGAGGTAAGGTGCCTCCCATTCTCAATTCTCCAGTGTGGTCCATCAAGGCCCAAGACACGGGAATCCCCTCAGGCCCCATAATACAGAAGCTGGGGAAGGTGTGGATACAGCGCTCAATGAACTTCTGGCTTTTCTCATTGCCACCAAAATGCCAGATGCTATTCACCAGTGCAGCATGTGTAACATCCAGTGAGGCGAATTTGAACAACTCTTGATTACTATTGAGAACAAGAGGAAAGAGCAGTCCTTAATCACATAGGCTATGAATAATTATATTTATTTCCCCCTAAATTGCCCCAAGAGGCAAAAAGTAGAATATCTTAGATTGTGTATTCTGTAGCTAGACTGCCTGAGTTCCTATCAGTACTGTGTACATGAGTCTGCTGATTAATTACTCTTCATCTTTTGCATTTCCTCATCTAGTGAGCAGGGCTCATAAGCAACTTGTACTGTAGACTAGCTAGTCAGTGTGATGGGGGCTCAGATTCAGTGCCTAACAGGTAGTAAAAGTGCTCTCCCAATTTTTATTTGCCTATAGCCATTATCTTTCCAGTTAGAGAGTTCAAATATGATCTTTCAAGTTAGAAAGTTCAAATATGATCAGTTTTGTTTTATGTAAAAGGAAAGAGTTTTGCAGACAAGCAAGCTTAATAAACCACATGTAGCAAGCAGAAAATCCAAAGTGCAGAATCATTGAATTTAGTATCCTGTGGTCCTTAGGCATTGTGATGCACAAAAGATAAAGGCAAGTGCAAAGATGGGCAGAAATGTGGAATGATAGCCCTTGTCATTGAGTCCTGATGTCTGAAGCCACCTGCAATGATGTGAGGAAGCTTCAGGAGTCATTTTGTAATGAGTTCTGGAGGTGGAGCTAGACATGCTATTTCCACTCCAGTTACAGGTTCTGTCATCCATGTGCTGAGCAAGTTATTCTACCATCTGATTCTGCTTTCTGTCAAGAGATTGGACTAATCTCTAGTTCATAGCAGGACACTTCCCAGTAGCTTCTAGATGGGAGTGTTCTGCAGGTTGCCATGTAGTATACAAAGAGAACAGAGTTCTTCTAGGTAGAAAATTTCACAGAGAGTTGTGGGGTTGAGCATCCTCAAATCACATACTGCCAGCTTTTGGTTCTACTCAGCATTAAGATAAACATAAATGGGGACAATGGGAAATGTGTTCAAAATGTTTTTATTAGAATCCATTTGTTCTATGCAGAGAATTCACTGAACACGTATTTGTTTAAAACCCACTATGTGCCAGCTACTGATGATCCCAGCTCTTGCAGGGTTTTCATTATTGTCAGAGGATGAATCAAAAATTAAATCTGTAGAATAAATTAACTAGTTTCAAATACCCAGGTGATTGGTGATGTCATTTTGTATGCTATGAAAAGGTGTTGCTCTGATTGGTTAATAAATAAAGCTGTTTGGCCAATGGTGAGACAGAATGCAGTTAGGTGGAACATTCTAACTGGAGAGAGAAGAAGGAAGAAAAGAGAGAAGGGAGACACTGCTAGCCACCGCCAGAAGAAGCAAGATGTAAAGTACCGATAAGCCACAAGCCATGTGGCAAAGTATAGATTTATAGAAATGAATTAATGTAAGATTTAAGGGCTAGCTAGCAAAAACCCTGCCATAGCCATAGTTTAAAAATAATATAAGCCTCTGTGTGTTTACTTGGGTCTGGGTGGTTGCAGGACCAGGCAGGACACGGGAATTTTATAAGTGTCTGTGAGACCTTGGTGCTGGGCAAGCACAGAAAAACTTCCAACTACACTCAGGAGTGCTATGAACAAAATAAATCTGAATCCTGCACAGTGGTTACTTTTATTGAGGTATTTTACCCAAGACTCTGATAAAGTAACCTGTGAGCAGATCTGGATAACAAAGTAAGTCATTAGTGTAAAGATTGACCTACATAGGAGAGAGAAGATTTAGATAGAGAGGAGACAATATTAGAGGTCTGAGCTCATGAAGGTCAAGAAGAAATGGTAGGAAAGCTATGGTGTAGCATTATTGTACACTAACTTCTGCATTTAGCTTTAACACTAGAAGCAATATGAAATCATTCACATAAGTGCTTTGTGTCACATAACCAATATTAGATTGTTAACTGACTTTCCGATAGAGAGAAGGAGAGAGCAAGAGAGTGAGTGAATGAGCAAAAGAGAGAGACAGAGAACGTGAATGAGGCTCACTTTGCTTTAATTCTTACCAAAATAATTAACTTGAAGTAACCCAATGTGAAACAACCTGTCAAATTCTAATGTGTGTCTTCCTTTCCTATTTTACATGGGAAATAACATTGAAATGTCAAAATTTTGTTTGTGTTATTTTAGCTTTTCTCAGTCTGCCTCTTCCTCTTTAGACTTCCACGGTCAGAACACTTTGCTTGAAAGAATGACTCAGCCTCTGATCTTGGACTCATGTCTAAAGAACAGTTTGTGTTTTTAAAATAAACTTGTAATGTTTTTGACAAAGGTTAGAAGTTTTGGAGGGAAGAAACAAGATAAAATGTAAGGCCTGAGAGGTAGATGAAAATTTCTTAGAGGGCTGAGAAGTTCAGAAATATTTGAAAGTATGTCAGGAAGCATTGAAATCTTGTAGGCAGGAGAGAGATTTAGTTCTTATTTAAATTTTATTGTGATTAATCAGCTGCTCTGCAGAATATTGGTTGGATAGTTACCAGGGCCAAAGATAGCAGAGGTAGTGAGGGCCTGGCAGGTTAAACAGTAACTCACATTCAAATTGCATAGGCAATTATAGTTTTTAATTGCATATATATACATACATACACACACACACACATACACACACACACACACACACACACACACACACACACACACATATATATATATGGATGTTACATGCTCCTGTGTGAAAATCAGAAGACAGTTTTGGGGAGTTGGTTCTCTTCTTCATCACATAGGCCCCAGGGATTGAACTTAGGTCATCAGACTTGTCAGCAAGCACATTTAGCTGCTGAGCCATCTTGCCAGCCTTTTCATGCAGATAATCTTGCTTAGAAAAAGGATCTTTGAATATACAAGTTTAAGACTTTAATATAAGCTTATCCCAATTATTTTGTGGGTTCCAAATCTATTGATAAGTGTCCTCATAACAAACAAAAGAGGAAAAGACACAGAGGATAAAGAAGGTCATGTGGAAGCATTTTTAGGGAGTGGAGAAATGCATCCCAAAGCCAAGGTACTCCCGGAATGGTGCTGGGTGTTGGAAGTGATCAGAAGGAATTGTATCCTGTAGATTCCAATGCAATACAGCACTTCTCAAATCTTGATTACCTTCTAGACTCCAAAATAATGATAGATCACCTGTGCATTGATTTTAGCCCTGTGTTTTAAGGTGACCTCTTAATGATCACTTTGGAAATCTAACGCAGGAGGTATGTCATTAGTGAGAGGCTGAATGTTGCAGAACAGCTCCTGAAACACTTACATGGGCTTGGGCTTGTCACTGTTGCATACTAAGTTCTTGGCATCCACCAAAGAAGGAGCCAATTTCTTTGCTGTTTCAGGTATCATATAGAGAAAGCACTCTGTGTGCTTTACATTGCCCAAATTAATGGCTCCAAGTCTTTTTATAACTTTGTCCAGGCTTGCCTGTGAACCTTAATGGGGGAAATGAAGAAGCAAACAATATACCATTATTCATCTTAACATTTAGAAAAGGCTGTTCAGTGGAATCAAAGGGAATATGAACATAGGATCATCAAGCATTATACTAAATCATGACAGGAGTCATATGATAAAGATTATATCCCTCCCATGTATCTTTTAAATTTAAGTTTTGGATGGTATCACAAACCCTGGCTACTTAAGAGTACACTTATAGTTACCAAAGAAGATGAATTAGAAGCAGAATAACTGAAATTGAATTGATAATTTCTCTGTATTCAAACCATTAAATCATTACTATAAGGTTCTCAATTCCTTTCTATTGCACTAGTATGACTCCTTTTATCATAAATTGGCTTTTGTTCACTCATAAACCTTGCTTAGGTTCACGGGAAGAATGTGATTTAGTAAACATGATTCAGAGGGCACTGAAGTTGACATTCACTTTCTGTTCCTAATCCCGTGACATTTACATGTCACCCAATCTACTCCCATCCCTGTAGTTAAGAGTTGACACAGTGTTATTATGAAATACCAGACTTGGGATTGTGATGAACCTATTCCTATTAGCCCACAGATAATGCTCCTGGTGACTGAGCCCATATGAGTGAATCTAGGTGAGACCAGTAGAACTGCCTAGGTGAGCCTGATCCAAATTTCCTACCCATACAATTATAAGCTAAAATAATTGTTTTGAGTTGATATTGAGAAGGTCTGAAATTCTATAAAACTAGATAAGATGTTCCTAAGAAGTTTTCATTAAATGCCTCATTTAGTCTTTGAGGGCTCTGTGTTTGGAATAGTATTATAATCCTTTTTTTTCCTCACAGAAACTCCGGTCTCCATAATAGAAATGATTTAGCCTTTACCACACGGCTAATAACTGGTTCAGTCAGGTTTTAGTCTTAGATCATGCAACTCCAAAAGGCATAGTTTTGTTTACTAAAACTTTCCTTTGAAAATGTGACAATGTAATAAAGCAGAGATGGAATGGTAGGATAATTGCTCCCTTATTTATGTTCTTTAATAAGATATGGTCATACTAAAGAATAAATCCTAAGATGGTAAGAAATTACATTAAAATTTTCTTTGTAAACTTTATACACTGAAGCTTTTAAGGGTTCCCTTCGGTAGGGTTAGACGCTGAGCAAAGAAACAGATAGCAGCATGCTAAGTGTCTGTGGCTTGCAAAAATGTATGTGGGATGTAAGGTGCTTGTTCAAAAGGAACAGCGACTTCCACACTGTGTACACAGCAAGTAACAACAGCCCACAGATATTCTGGTTCTCTTACTTTGAATCTGTAAATGTTGTTTCCAATTAATGACTTCTGATGAGCCAAGGAACGTCTGACAGTTGTTGGGATCCTTGGAGTAGATTAAGTAAGTATTGGTGTAGGGGTCAAGGTCGTCTGTCATGTCCTGTTTCAGAAAAGAAGAATAAACCAAAATGTTTGTGGGTGGTATGGTGTTTGGTTATATTGGTATTCGGTTACATTGTGAGATTTAAAAATATTAAAAGTAATGGTTCCTGTGTATTTATGTTGTAATTATTTGCAATGAGAAATCAAGAAAAAAAGCCTTGACTCAATTCAAAGTAAAAACTACCTGAAAAACATTTCCCCAACTCAAGGGAAACTAATGTTATAAAATTCATTTAGAAAAATGAAAATAACAAATTAAAAGCAAAACATTTAGCTAAAAGAATACTCCTTGCTCTGGGGTATGAATGCTTTGATATTAAAGTCTATACAGAAAACAGAATCAGAATATGCATCTACAAATTGGGAACCAATGATAAAGCTAATGACATAGACAGTCCTTCAAAAATAGTTTATTATTATTTAGTAAATTACAACCCCATAAAGCAAATATATATATATATATGTATATATATATGTATATATATATGGCTTACAAATCCATAATGGGACTATTTAAATACTTAAATATCAAGGAATATATAACAGAAATATTACTTCCACTAATGTGTAATCTGAATGCTTTTATTCTGCTAATTTAAATGAGATATTAAGTAAAATATTGTGTACTGTATAATGATACTGTAGCTAAAACTATTAATTTTCTTGCTCTGCCTTATAAAATATTTAAGTCATCTTCAACATTCATGTTGGTAAAATTTTTCAATTTGGAATTGAGAATAACCTCTGATTTGCTTCCTGTAGCATCAACCATCTGTAGCCTTTCCTTTTTTCTACCTCCTTGTTTTTTGTTTTTTTTTTAAGAAATTTTTCCCCTTGTTCCACAACCTCTCCAACATAAACTGTCTTCAGTGTTTTTGATCTTAGCCATTCTGACAGGTGTAAGATGGTATCTCAGAGTTGTTTTAATTTGCATTTCCCTGATGACTAAGGATGTTGAGCAATTCCTTAAATGCCTTTCAGCCATTTGAGATTCTTCTGTTGAGAATTATCTGTTTAGCTCTATAGCCTATTTTTTAATTGGACTGTTATGTATTTTGATGTCTAATTTCTTTAGTTCTTTAAATATTCTGAAGATCAGCCCTCTGTCAGATGTGGGGTCATGTAAAGCCTGATGTAAAGCTCAGGATAAACAGTTTAACCCAAAGCTTCAGAGAAACTAGGTAACAAGGAGGACCCTAAGAGGGATGCATGGATCATCCTGGGAAGGGGAAATAGTTGAGATCTCCATGAGTAAACTGGGCCAAGGTGGGGGGAGCTTTAGAGGGGAGGGGGTGGGGGATGAGAACTTTCTACCTTCTTTTATTGCTGTTGTTGTAGATAACTGATATAAATGCAGAGCAGCATCTCAATGATCTCAATGGGAAGCTGATATTACAATGGAAAGTTGTGATAGAATGAGAATGAGCTGGATTATTTCAAGTCCTGTGATTTTTTTAAAGACAGGAAATTTGCTTTACCCTATGATAATAGTTGTCAGTAGAACTAAGAACTAACTTGTTACAATATACAAACCTAGCTTAGGAAATATCCTTTTCTCTAAAGACTTACTTCTTTTTATTTTATGGGTATGAATGTTTTGCTTGCATGTATGTATGTTTATTACATGTGTGTAGTACCTGTGAAGATCAGAAGAGAATGTCAGATTCCATATAACACGGGTGCCTGGAACCAAAGCCTGGTCCTCTGCAACAGTAGCAAATGTTCTTAACCACTGAGCAATCTCTCTACCCCTCAGGAAATGTTGTTTTAATGTTTATAATAAAAGATCAAACTATTCTTTGTGTCTCAACATGATCTTAAGTTGATATGACTTTCCATCAGTTGCCTCTAAATCCTACAAACAAGATGTAAGAAATATGAAGTAATAAAGTATGTTTGCAGTTTAAATCAGCCAGTGCTGATGGAGGAACTATGCCACCAAGCAAAACAAAAACATGAACCAAGATGAAAGTGTACCATCTGTACCTTTAGTTAACATTCTCCTTGGGTTATTACTATATCTTTGTGTATTTCCCTTCTTGTACACTTTATAACACCCTGTAATTTTTGTGGACTTTCATGTATTATCCCTCAGGCAGAGTATTAGTTGACATTATTACAATTCACTTCTATTTCTTAGGATGGGAGTAGGATGTGGGATCTACCATACAGTCAGACACATGTTAGGAATGCAACAAATGTGGAGATGCAGGCACATTTATTCTATATTGCAACTTACCTGCTCCTGGGGTCGAATAACAACAGTATTAAAATCAGGCCACTTGTCCACCAGAGCCTTGACCTTAAATGGGTTTCCCTGATTCATGTGGAAGACAGTCCCATAAACCTAAATATTTCAACACAGTAGAATTGTCATCATATTACAAAGAAATAGGAAACTGCAACATATTTGACTAGAACAAGGGTCATTCCTATGACATTATTTTTTGTTGGAAAGATGTAATAAATAAATCTTTCAAATGGTTCCTAGTGTCTAGTTGTTTATTCTAACAATGATATCTTTTAAACATTAATGAAATAAAATGTAAATAATGATGTGATTTATGAATAAACTCATGAACTCCCCTGCTGTAGAATCTAATAGAATTTTTTCATGGATTCCAGATTTCTTTCTTTTCATGTGCAGAACAAATTTTATGAAGCTGAGAGGTTTCAGAAGTGGTTTCCACTCATTGCAAGTGTTTTTCTTACTACTCCTTGAAGCACTTTTATGATTGCTACTTTAATATACATACTATGTCATTCTTAGATCTGCATCATCTGCCTGTTGATATGTCTGGGTCATTGTTTCTTACCTCAGTTAAGATTTAGCCAGGCTTAGTGACATATGTCTGTTATTTCAGCTAATAGGGAGGCTGAGGCAGTCAGTTGAAAATTCAAGGGCTACCTGGGATATACAGTAAGTCCCAGGCCAACCTATAAAAATTTAATTTCCATGCCATTTGTATATTTTTTGACATACAATTTTACCTCACCTCTTGTGAGAACATGTTATAGGTCAAATCCTAGTTCACAGAAAATTCTATACTGAGTTATGTGATACATAAAAAGAGAACTAAAAATTATTGTACATTAAATTTTATTTCATTGAGATAATATAGTCTACAAAAGACATGTGATGATACACATTTTAAATTAAAAAAAAATTTCCCCTGCTAGAGTCACGTCAGGATACAACTAAAGCAAAATTTAAATAAGATCAGAATCCTTATTATTTAATGTCTAACATGATTTCAACTAAATAGTGATTGTTATTTAAGAATCAGGAAAATTCTTTTTTCTCTACTGGCAGTTATACCTAGGACCTTGCACAGGATAGGCAAACACTATTATTGACCTATATCTCCACCTTTCTTTCAAGTTTTTATTTTGTGAAAGAGTCTCACAACATCTTTGAAGTATCCAGTGACATTGTTGAGACTTCTTTCTACTCTGGTAGAAAGCATAGGTGAGAAAAACGCATAGGTGAGAAAAACGCCATGGTGTTGGTGCTCAGAGGGTCTTGACCTCCTCTGTCATAGCAGGGTGTGGCCCTCAGTTACTCTGTGAATGGTCTACTCTCACCTTTAAGGACTCTGGGAGGTACTTCCTCAGGGAGTTCTCCAGAGACTGAAGCATCTGAGAACCCTGTAAGTAGAACATCTCTTCCAATACCTAAGATGAAAAAAAAAAAATGACAATAGCAAGTCATGTGTGGGAAGATACTTTTATAGTGTGTCCAGACTGCCTCTAAGGATCAGGAGTTATAGGCCCATAATCATCAGGAATTTATTTCTCACAGGTCTGGGAAGTCCACGATCAAGACATTGGTATATTTCTTGTCCCGTGGAACTCTGCTTTCTATTTGCTTGGTACACCCTCTAGCTGTGTCTTCTTGGGATGAAGGGAGAAGGCTTGCTCTCTGGAGCTTAACCTATGAAGGCATCGATAACATCTGAAAAGGTGACACAATCACCTGTAGATGAAATTCTAAACAGTCTTAGTAAATAAGAAACACAGAGCCAAATACAGGGGTAATAGCCAAAGAGATCAGAGAATTAGCAAAGAGCCACTGACTACCCTTTACCTTACCACCAAACCATAGTTTCCCACATGAGAGAGAGCTTCTCCCTGTCTGACTTGTGTTTTTATTGCCTTTCTGTTCTGCCTTTTCATTGGCTCTAAGCCCAGCCACATGACTTCCTTGTCGCTGCCTGTCTATACAGACCTCCAGGTCACTATGGTTGGCACTGGGATTAAAGGCTCATGTCACCATGCTTGGCTGTGTCCTTGACTACACAGAGACTCTGCCTGCCATGTGATTGGATTAAGGGTTTGGACTACCACTGCCTGACTTCTGTTCCTGGCTCACTATGACCTCTGATCTCCAGGCAAACTTTATTTATTAACATACAAATAAAATCATATTTCAGCACAATTAAAATATCACCACAATCACCTCCCAAGGGCTCCCAGCTCCTACTACTTACTACCCATCATATTGGCAAGACCTTCCAACATAGGACCCTTGGAGAGACAAACATTCAGACCATAGCAATACTAAGCCAGTGGGATCTGGATCTACACAGCTTTTCCTCTTATCTCCTTTTTAGGACATATGATTCTGTGGTCAAATCCAGCCATTTAGCTGCAGAAGAAATTTATCAGCTGTAGGAGTTCCCTGGTAGAATTTTTGGGGTTGTTTATATATACTATCATATCATCTGTGAATATTGACACTTTGATTTCTTCCGTTCAAATTTGTATCCCCTTGATCTCCTTCAGTTGTCTATTGCTCTAGCTAGAACTTCAAGTACTATATTGAATACATATGGAGAGTATGGACAACCTTGTCTTGTTCCTGATTTTAGTGGACTTGTTTTGAGTTTCTTCCATTTAATTTGATATTACCTATAAACTTGCTGTACATTGCCTTTATTATGTTGAGGTATGTTTCTTGTATCCCTGCTCTCTCCAACACTTTTATCATGAAGGGGTGTTGGATTTTTTCAAAGGCTTTTTTTTTTGTGGGGAGCATCTAATGAGATGATCATGTGGATTTTTTTCTGTCATTTTGTTTATATGGTGGATTACATTGAATTTCATATGTAGAACTGTCCATGCATCTCTGGGATGAAGCCTATTTAGACATGGTGGATGATCTTTTTGATGTGTTCTTAGATTTGGTTTGTATTTTAAAATGTATTTTTGCATCTATGTTCATAAAGGAAATTATCCTCTAATTCTCTTTCTTTATTGAATCTTTGTGTGGTTTGGATATTAGGGCAACTGTGGTCTCACAAAATGCATTTGGCAATGTTCCTTCTGTTTCTATTGTGTGAAATCATTTGAGGAGTACTAGCATTAGCTATTCTTCAAAAGTCTGGTAAAATTCTGTGCTAAAAACTATCTGACTCTGGGCTCTGGGCTTCTTTTTTTTTTTTTTTTTTTTTTTTGGTTGGGAGACTATTAATGACTGCTTCTATTTCCTTAGGGGTTATAGGTCTATTTAAATTGTTTATCTGATCTTGATTTGATTTAACTTTGGTAAGTGTTATTTATCAAGAAAATTCTGCATTTCTTTTAGATTTTTCAATTTTGTTGAGTACAGGTTTTTAAACTATGACCTCATGATTCTTCCGCTTTCCTTGGTGTCTGTTGTTATATCCTCCATTTCATTTCTGATTTCATTAATTTGGATTTTTTTCTCTGAGTTTTTTAGTGAGTTTGGATAAGGGTCTGTCTTATTGATGTTCTCTATCATTTCCTTAAATTTGGTTTTAAGTTCCTATTCTTGTACTTCAGTTGTGTTGGAATATTTAAGGTTCGCTGTAGTAGGTTATCTGGGCTTGGTGGTGACATATTGCCCTGGCTGTTGTTGATTATGTTTTTATGCTGGGGTCTCAGCATCTGGGTTTGGGGTGATTATAGTTCTAGGAGTTGATGTGTGACTTGTCTTTGCTGGATGGATGTTCTGTTCCTTAGTTTATGTTTTCTGGCTCATCTTCTGGCAGGTGTGGCCAGTGGTTGAACAGGGGATCTCTGTTCAATGTACACATTTTGGCCTAGGACATGGTAATGAGGAGGGGAAAGGGGGACTGGGGTGAGGGTGTGTAGATACTGAGAGAGTGAGGGGTGGTCTGTGGGCAGACAACCTCCCTGGGTTCTGGCAGCCAGTGTGGCCTCTATTTAAGCATGAGGGTCTCCCAATTTTATATTTTGTTACACTTATTCTTATTTCATTCTTTGGATGACATTGTGAATAAATTATATTACAAGATTTAAAACATTTCTTATCTATTCAAGTACTATTCATTCGTATATAATTAGCCCTACGTGTTATGAACTTAGAACTTTAGTATACTAGCTCCAGTAGCTGTTGCTACTACTATTAATTTGAAGGTTATTTTAAATTTGCCTTCTTCATGGTCATTCCTGGGTTTTTTGTGTGAGTGAAGGTTATTTTCCTTTGCCCGTTTCTATTTGTTTTTCTTGTCCCATCGAATAGCATACAAAATCTAGCAGCTGTGATGCTCATCCTTTATTTTTGGTTTTATTTACTAAACTCACTCTATTTTTTCTGGGGAAGCACAGCTATGAATTTTAAAAGTTTTAAATCTTTTAAAGTTTCAGCATGGATAGTGGAGGGGTCTCCTGGGACCCATTCCTGATGGAGGAGCTATTGACAGCTAAAGGATGCTGAGGGAAAAAATAGTTTCTGTTTGGGATTGTGGACACTGGTAGGTCTCCAATGCCCCAGTGGATGTCTCCACACTCATTCAGCACTAATTGGACTCAAGAGTCTATCAATAATAATTTTAAAAGTGGACATAAAGTCAGGAGATAGGTGCGTTTGTCCCTGGGGAATTGGAAGAAGGTAGTAGGAAATGGTTAAGTTTAAAATATGCTGTATTTATGTATCAAAATTTCAAAGAATAAATGGAAATATTATTTACAATATAGGTAAGTGCTCCTAGAGATAAAAGATAGATTTTTTACTATGTAAAATCTTCTAAATAACAATAGCTATTAATTACAGTAATGGGACAAAGAAGAGGTATCCTTAAAATTGCTTAGGACTGCCAGGCAGTGGTGGCACACACCTTTTAATTCCAGCATTTGGGAGGCAGAGGCAGGCAGATCTCTGAGTTTGAGGCCAGCCTGGTCTACAAAGCAAGTTCCAAGACAGCCAGGGCTTCACAAAGAAACCCTGACTAAAAAAAAAAAAAGAGCTAAGGTATTGGATCTTGAGAAATGATTTTCAACAGTTAAGAGCACTTGTTGAACACAGGATGTGGGTTCAGTTCAATACACCCACATGGTAGCTCTCAGCCCTCTATAACTCCAGTTCCAGGGATGCTCATTTTCTTCTTCATTTTTACTAAAAATTGTTTTTCATGAAACATATTTTGATCATGTTTCCCCTTCCCCAACTCCTTCCAAATCCTCCTCACCTCCCTTTCCACTCAATTCTCTCTCTCTCTCTCTCTCTCTCTCTCTCTCTCAAAACAAGAAATAAAAATGAAAATAAATAAAAAACAGGCAAGAGACCAATAAGAAAAAAAAGCCCAAAGACTGCAAAAGGAAACAGAAGGTCCACAAAAATACCAGGGAGTTGTGTGTGTGTGTGTGTGTGTGTGTGTGTGTGTGTGTGTGTGTGTTTCACATACCCAGTAACACTTCCTTGCAGAAAACCGATTTTACTTTTGAAAGAGGCTGTCATTTTTCAATAGCTAGCTCTTTGGTTGGAGGTGGGACCCTGTGCTCACTGCACTTCCCCATCTCTGTGGTGAGACTCCATCTGACCTAAACCTATGCAAGTCTTGGTATGCAGCCACAGTCTCTGTGAGTCTGTATATTCTTTAGTCCTTGTGTCTGAAGGACACCATTGCCTTGGAGTCCTCAATCCCCTCTGGCTCTTATCATCTTTTTGCCTTCCCTTCCACATAGATCCCTGAATTTTGAAGGGAGGGGTTTGATGAAGATGCCCCATTTATGACTAAGAGCTCCAAAATCTCTCGTTCTCAGCACATTGTCTAGCTTTGGGTCTCTGTGCTAATTCCCGTATACTACAAGAAGAACTTCCCATGATGTGAATTGAGGAATGTACTGATTTTATGGGTATAACAATATGTCATTAGGAGTCATTTTATTGCAATGTTCCTTTAGCAGAATAATACTATTGTGTTTTCCCCCTAAGTTTATGATGATCTATCTAGTCTTGGGTTCTTGGCTACTATAACAATATCAGGTATGGGTTACATTTCACAGAGAGGGCCTTAAATCTAATTTTAAAAAGTGGTTGGTTACTACCATAATACTAGTGCCATTATTGTACCAGTGCATCTTGCAGGTAGGTCACTGTTTTAGATCACAGGGTTTGTAACTGGGTGATACTGATAATCACCTTTCTCTTCCAGTAATGTACAAAGTATCTTTCAGTATCATGGACACTATTCAGTAAGGGCAAAATTTCTAGTTATTCACCAGCTCAACTTCTCTATACTCAATGATATAAGTAAATGTTGGCCTTAGCAATAGCCTATGATGTTTGGGGATTCCAGCAGACCCCTTCAGCCAATAACTCAACAAGATGTTATACAGTCCTGGCACCTGGAGGTTTAATTTCATGGCTTATGATGTCTAGTTGGGGCCCTGTCTTCCATATTATTTGGAGACGCCATTTAGATTGAATTCATATAAGTATATATTCTAGGAAGCTTCGACAGCAGTAGATTTCTATGTTTTTCAAGTAGCATTTAGTATTACTTGTCTTGCTATTTTCTTATCATTCTTTTATTGTCTGTAGTTCTGTATAGTATTCCCTTCTTCATTTATGGTAATGTTGATATATGCCTTTTCTTTTTATTCCTTGGTAACATTAGAGCAGAGATACTAAAATTGGACTCTATTATATTTTGACCAAGATAATTCATTCTTTGTTTTTGAAGGCAATCATGTATGCAGCTGACCATATAACAGAATCCCCAGGCTTCTTGGCAAAAGAAACAAAAATGTTTCCTACATTTATCCTTATGTCCTGGAGAGTATCAAAATAGTGAGAATCTAATATCCCTATAGGCAATCTGATTTTTTTTTTGGTAGAAACATTTTCTGAGTGTGTCACAAGCAAAAAAGGCAAAGTAAATTTGGTATAAAATCTCAGGCCTTGTTATAATGCCAGCAAACTGAATAACATGGGAGTGTTTAAGAAATGTGCAGACACACACACACACACACACACACACACACACACACACACACACACAAACAAACAAATAATAAATGAGCAAGTGCAATGAAAATAATGACAAAAGCATGATATCCAGTTAATGGTAGAGACTGAAACCTGAAGAGGCTATAGAAATGGGAAGTCTTAGTATTGTTCATGGATAAAGTCCATTTTGGCTTTTAGGCTCTTCAGACTGAGTTTTCACATTATTGAAAATACATCCAGGTAGAACAATTTGGATAAAATGCATCCAAAGAATAGTTTTTTATGAAGCCTTTAAGGAATAGGAGAAAAAAATGCAGTGACTGTGTCCAAACTGTGATGAGATTATAATCATAAGCTCGCAGTCGGTCACTACTCTAAGGAACTATTAACATAAAAATTATGATACATATGTGCAAGTGGAAAAGTACTAAATTAAAAGGATAAAACATATAAAATAAAGTAGTACATAAACTTTGATTATGTATGAGTTTATGCACATTTAATATGCAATCTGAATCAGAATATGGAAAAATACAGAAAATAAATTAAAATGATATTAAAATTTTAGAAATAGAAATTGCTTCCGTTTTTAGATAATATGAATTAACAGTGAAACTGCTTCATATTCTTCTTCATATTTCTCAGCATATCCCATCTTAGATTTGCCTGAGACACTTTACTCTCATGGGAAGTATTTATCCAATGAAAGAGATGTCTCCTAAAGAATTAAAGGTATTATCATCTGCCCAGCATCCCTGTCCCATAGGGGCTGAATAAATGTTAGCTGGAGCATCATGCTTCTTTGCAAATATTGCTAACCAAATATACTAGCCAGCTTTCATAATCTCTCCATAGTACTTATCTGTTTGGAATGGAAAACCTGCCACAGTTCTCTCAGGAATTTTGACACCAATAAATACACCAAACTGGATGGAAAAAGTCCACAAGAGTCAAAACTACCTAAAGAACTACAGTCCAGAGAGGAAAGCTGGGAATGGAAGAAGTTGCCTTCCCCAAGGAAAAGCACACCAATTGGTTGTCCAGTGCCAAATGGCCAGCCCTAAAAAAATACATACATAAAATACAAACATAGCATTTTATGGACAGAATGGGTTGTATTTAGGAATATGTATGTAAATAAATATTTATATACAATAAAAATTGTTGCGGGCCGCAGAAATATATCATAAGAACTCAGCTGGTTATGGCAAAGT